GAATATTGAATAGATAGTAAAAGATCTCCAGGCGCAGAACGCTCAGTTTCAACAAATGTTCTTGACTCTGGCAAAAGGACAAGATGATTTGAAAACTATGTTAATCAAAGAAAAGAAGAAGAAAGCGAAGAAATCAACCAGTGTTTTGAATTTGGGAAGAAGGTTCAAAGGACCAGCCAGACAGACTCTAAACTTCACAACATCATCAGGTGAAAGGGATAATCAAGAAGGGAAAAACAAGCAAGTGACTGACCCTTTAGAATCTGAAGAGGAAGAAGAGGTTGACTACTCTGAAGAGCAGTATCCTCCATCTGACGACAAATACAAACAGTTGGAAGATTGCCTCAATTCTATGGAGATCCAGAAGGTACCCGGGTTGGATTTTGAGGAGCTAGGACTTGTCTCAGGGGCTGTCATACCGCAAAAATTCAAGGTCCCCACTTTCACTAAATATGACGGTGTCTCTTGTCCAAAGCTGCATTTGAGATCATACGTCAGGAAAATTCAACCCCATATTACGGATAGGAATATATGAGTGAATTTCTTCCAAGAAAGCTTGTCAGAGATGCATTTGGATTGGTTCTATCAATTGGAAGGGACCAACATCCGCAACTGGGAAGATTTGGCGGCCGCTTTTTACAACCAATACTAGTATAATCCTGACTTAGCTCCAACACTGACACAGTTGCAAGGCATGTCTATGAGTACAGGTGAAGGTTTCAAAACCTATGCTCAAAAATGGAAAGATCTTGCGGGAAGGGTCCAACCCCCTCTATCTGACAGAGAATTGGTGGATATGTTCTTAGGCACGCTATCTGGTCCATTCTTCAAACACTTGATCGGAAGCTCCTCGGCTGGGTTTACCGAATTAATCATGACCGATGAATAGGTAGAAGCGGGTATAAAAAGTGGCAAAGTTCAAAGAGATGCATCCTCGGGCGCGATTAAGAAGCCCTTTACCAGAAAGTAGGAGGTTAGTGTTGCATATTACCATAGGAATCAGGAGAGAACTGAACGTCGTCCAGCGGTAGGGGATGTCATGATCTCTAAGCCTGCACCTACTCAACAACAAAACAATCAGTCTAGAACAGAAAGTCCGGTAAGAAAGTTTACCCGGATAAATATGACGCTATCTCAAGTCTTGCCGCATTTGTTGAAATCTAATCTGGTAACCTTGCGGGAAGCTATGAAGAATCCCAACACTGCCTCTCCCTGTTATAACCTAAATGCTCGTTGTGCTTACCATTCAGAACATCCAGGTCATGATACAAACGATTGTTGGGCTTTGAAAAACATGGTGCAAGACTTTCTCGAGGCAGAGGAAATTGAATTTGACGCTCCTGAGATCCCAAATGTTATCACTGCTCTTATGCCCAAGCACGGTCGTGGTGTTAACGCTATTGAAGATGATGTGTTTGTTACTGTTGTTGATGAACTTGTTACTCCCCTCATAACCGTCAAAAGGAACCTGTTGAAGGCTGGTTTATTTCCGGGATGTGGTGAAGGCTTCCACCTTTGTTTATCTCTACCGACTGGTTGTCATTTATTGAAGGCAGGTGTCTAGCGCTTGATGGATGACAAATAGATTTTGGTTGAAAAGACTCCCGTTCCAACCATTTCTTACAAGGATGTTTCAATAATAACCATTTACGCCAATCCCCCAGGGTCTCCACCAAAAGACCCGTTAGGACTACATTTGTTCCGAAGGTGACTCCACTGATAATTACTATGCCAGGGCCAATCCCGTACTCCTCAGACAAAATTGTTCCATGGAACTATGGGGGTGACATCTACTACCACGGTGTCAAGCAAGAATGGTTTGTTGTTGAAGACCCGGTTTTTGAGAAGGATGGCCCCGACATTGGCAACATTGTGGGACCCAGCAAAATAACCAGAAGTGGAAGAGTGTTCTCCCCTGAGATTGCTCCTCCGAAAGTTGTTACCGGTCCTGTGATCATTCCTTCTTTTGTTCCTGCTGATATTACGACTACAATTCCTGTGATTACCCCTGCTGACACCCCTATCACCGAGTCGATAGAGACTCGGGGCAAAGACATTTTGGTTGAGCCTGTCCGGATGAAGGCACAGTCAGTATCTATCCCAGAGGCTTCCAAGAAAGAGATGGAAGAAATTTTGAAAATTATAAAGAGAAGCGACTACAATGTAGTCGAACAGCTAGGGAAGACCCCTTCAAAGATTTCTATGCTAGCTTTACTATTGTGCTCTGAAGCTCACGCGAAGGCCTTGGTGAAATTTCTTAAAACTGCCCATGTGCCACAGGAAACCTCTGTTGACCAATTCAAAGATTGTGTGGCTAGTTTGATAGCTGATAACGGTTTGGGCTTTTCTGATGCTGATCTGACAGCTAGAGGGAGGAAACATAATGATGCGTTACATGTCTTTGTCGAATGCAGGGGCACTACTTTGGCCCATGTCCTGGTAGATACTAGTTCATCATTGAATGTGCTGCCTAAGAAGGCTCTAGATAGACTAAAATGTGAAGGTTTGACCGTAAAACCCAGCAACATAGTGGTAAGGGCCTTCAATGGTTTGAAGAGAATGGTGCACGCGGAGGTGGACATCCCCATCAAAGTTGGAACTCAGACCTTCGATTCAAATTTCTATGTGATGGATATTCGCCCTTCCTATTCCTGTTTATTGGGCTGACCTTAGATTCATGACGCTGGTTCTGTCACCTCTACATTACATCAGATGTTGAAGTACCCAATTAAGGGAAAAATCATCACTGTCCATGGAGAGGAGGAATATATGGTCAGTCACCTGAACTCCTTCAGGTATGTGGAAATGGATGGTGAGTTCATCGAAACTCCGTGTCAGCATTTCGAGGAAGTCCCACAAACAATTGCAGCAACCAAGATTGTCTCCAAAGTACCGAAGATTACTAGACCTCGGTTGAAGATGGCTTCTCTGAAAGATGCCAAGGCAGTAGTCAAAGAAGGTGGGTGTACCATTTGGGGCCAACTTCCGGATATTCCCTATAAATCTGACAAATTTTGTTTGGGTTTTACTTCAGGAGCCCAGAAATTTATTTGTCATGCTCGTGTCGGGGGACCACCTTTGCGGATCAGCAACCATGGAGTCAACACATTGGAAGATAGTGATGACAGTTGTGACCTGGAAGAATGGATTTTTCCAACTATCAGCGAAGGATTCAACAACTGGGAAGCCAAAGAATTTGTCCCTATTACTTTTATCCAATAGTAATTGTCTTTAAATTTTTGTCGAGCTTGTAATAATTAAACAATTTAGACTTTAAAACCTTGTGTCTTACCCGAGGCACAACAGTCTATTTGTGAGGGTTGTTACTTCATTTTCATATGTCATCAATAAATCATGGACAATTTTGCATGCAAATTTTACGCTCTTTGTTCTTCTTTTTCTACATTTTTATTTTTTCAAAGATAGCTATGCTCTTACGCACACTCACATATCAAAATGCAGATCCGCATCCACTCAGGATCCCATGGGTAACGATTCTACTATGGCATATTGTGACTTTGAAAATCCAATCTACCAAGCCGAAGACGAAGGTGAGGAAGACTGTTAGGTGCCAGGGGAACTAGCCAGGTTACTACAACAGGAAGAAAGGATCATACAGCCCCACGAAGAGCCGGTTGACACAGTTAACTTAGGTACCGAAGAGGACAAGAAAGAAGTCAAGGTAGGTGCCAATCTAGAACCTAGTGTCAAGAAGCGCTTAACTCAATTACTACATGACTATGTTGAGGTCTTTTCCTGGTCATACGAAGACATGCCAGGACTCAACGCAGATATCGTGGTCCATCGTCTGCCAACAAAAGAAGACTGTCCTCTGGTAAAATAGAAAGTCTGTCGCATGCAGCCAGAAATGTCAGAGAAAATCAACACTGAAGTCATGAAGCACTTCATCACCGGATTCTTATCTGTCACCTCCTATCCATAATGGGTCGCCAATGTTGTTCCAGTGCCTAAAAAGGAAGGTAAAGTACGCATGTGTGTTAATTACAGAGATTTGAATAGGGCAATCCCTAAGGATGATTTCCCGCTTCCCCATATCGATATTCTGATTGACAACACCGCACAGCATAAAGTATTCTCCTTCATGGATGGTTTCTCTGGGTACAATCAAATCAAAATGGCACCTGAGGACATGGAGAAAACAACCTTCGTCACACAGTGGGGCACGTTCTATTACAAAGTTATGCCATTCGGGTTGAAGAACGTTGGGGAAACTTATCAGCGCGCCATCGTAGCTCTGTTTCACGATATGATCCATCACGAGATAGAGGTCTACATAGATGACATGATAGCCAGATCTCAAACTGAAGAGGAACACCTTGACCATTTGTAGAAACTGTTTGAAAGACTGGAGAAATGCAAACTAAGGTTGAACCCGAGTAAATACATATTTGGAGTGAGGTTCGGTAAACTCCTAGGCTTCATTGTCAGCGGTAAAGGTATCGAAGTGGACCCTGCAAAGGTAAAAGTAATACAAGAAATGCCTGCTCCTCGCACCGAGAATGAAGTCAGAGGATTCTTAGGACGGTTAAACTACATCGCAAGATTCATTTCTCACATAACCGCTACTTGTGAACCAATCTTCAAATTACTGAAGAAAGATCAAGTGTTGGATTGGAATGACGACTTCCAGGCTGCCTTCGACAGGATCAAAGATTACCTTCAAGAGCCTCCTATTTTGATGCCTCCAGTCGAGGGAAGACCTTTGATCATGTATCTAACTGTCTTGGAAAATTCAATGGGGTGTGTGTTGGGGCAGCATGATGAGTCTGGTCGAAAAGAGCATGCAATATACTACCTGAGCAAAAAGTTACCAACTGTGAAACCAGATATTCACTGCTCGAGAAAACTTGCTGCGCTCTGGCATGGGCTGCTCGCCGGCTAAGACAATATATGTTGACCCATACTATGTTATTGATATCCAAGATAGATCCAATTAAATGCATATTCGAGAAGCCCTCCCTCTCGTGAAGAATAGAAAGATGGTAGATGATCTTGACTGAATACGACATTCAATACACTACCCAAAAAGCAATAAAGAGAAGTATGCTAGCCGATCACCTTGCTCATCAGGCTGTGGATGACTATCAGTCCATGAAATTCGAGTTTCTAGATGAATACATCATGGTGGTAAACAATTGTGAAGAACTCGGACCATATGACGGACCTGAACAAGGATCCCGATGGACCTTGGTTTTTGACGGAGCTTCTAACGCGCTCGGCAATGGCATAGATGTTGTGATCATATCCCCTGAAGGATGTCATACTCCCTTCACTGCAAGACTTTGTTTCAACTGTACCAATAATATGGCGGAATATGAAGCATGTATTATGGGTCTCAAAGCCGCCATAGATTTTGGAATCAAGTCCTTAAAGGTATTTGGAGATTCAGCCTTAGTCATCACTCATATCAAAGGAGAATGGGACACGGAGCACCCTAATCTCATCCCTTACAAAGAACATGTGTTGACATTAATCCCACATTTTGAGGAAATTACCTTTGAGCATTTTCCACGAGAGGAAAATCAACTAGCGGACGCGCTAGCCACTATGTCATCCATGTTTAAATTCAGGTGAGATAACGAGGCTCCCCAGATCACCATTGAGCGGATGGATGAACCAGCTTACTGTCACGAGATCGATACTGAAAAAGTAGTGGACAAGCCTTGGTTCCATGAAGTTAAGAGGTATCTCAAGGCCCAAGAGTATCTGGAGGAAGCTTTAGTCAATGATAAGAAGTTCTTGAGAAGATTTTCTGCTAAATTCTTCCTCATTAACGGAATCCTCTATAAACGCAACTACGACTCTACTCTAATTTGTTGCATAGACCAGAGTGAGGCAGAAAAGATCAAGGCTGATTTACACGAAGGTACCTTTGGCACTCATTCTAGTGGGTACACGATGGCTAAAAAGATCCTACGGGCAGGATACTACTGGTCCACCATGGAAGCAAATTCTTATCAACATTCAAGAACTTGTCACAAGTGTCAGATCTATGCTGACAAAGTACATGTGCCTCCGGTTCCCCTAAACATCCTGACTGCTCCTTGGCCCTTCGCAATGTCGGGGAATTGACATTATTGGAGAGATCAAACCCACAACTTCTAATGGACACCACTTCATCTTGGTTGCCACAAAAATTGCGACAGTTATGTGATAACTGTCGTAATTGACATATAGAGACAGTGTTTACGACGGTAAAACAACCGTCGGCCCCCATTTAACACTTTTAACATTGATTTTTCACCAACAACTAGTCACGACGGTAAAATTAACCGTCCTAAAAGGCATATCACGACGGTAAAGCACCCGTCGCACCTTTAAACCTTTCACGACGGTAAAATTATCCGTCCTAAAATTCATTTCACGACGGTAAAACAACCGTCGCACCCAAAACCTTTAAAAATTCTCATGGGCACGACGGTAAAACACCCGTCGCCGTAAAAAAGTTAAAAAGCTCTTAAAAAGCTCTTATTCATTTCATTATTCTTGTTACAATTTTATTTTTACAGTGAACCCTTCATCTCTCTCCCGCGCAGCCTCTCACCCCCCAACCTTCAAACCCAGTTCTCCCTCAATCAAAACCCAACCACCAAAAACAAACAAAAAGCTAAAGATCTTACCCCTTTCGCGATTGCTTTATGACTTTCTGTCCGATTTGTTCTGATCTTCTTTCTCTCTTGATCCCAATACCAAATCATCGAGTTTGGAGCAAAACCCAAACTCCTCAATTCCAATCGAGTTTGGAGCAAAACCCATAGCGCCATCTCATCTCTTGCCAAATTGCACAACTCATCTGATCCTAATGAGCGAGAAGTTTGTGAAATTCTCAAGGGTTTGGGAGACAATGTTAAAGAAGTTGATGCGGAGCATGTTCTGCATAACATAACAAACCCTGAAATTGCGATTCTTGCTGTTAAATACTTCCAGAAGAAGATTGAACCGGAGAGACATGTTGTTCTTTACAATGTGTTGTTTAAGCTTTTTAGAGAAATTAATGATTTTGAAAAAGCAGAGAAGGTGTTTGAGGAAATGCTGCAGAGAGGAGTCAAGCCTGATGTTGTTATGTTTTCGACTTTGATTAGGTGTGCTTCTGTTTGTTCTCTGCCTCACAAATCCGTGGAGTTGTTTGAGAGGATGCCTTCTTTTGGGTGTGAGCCGGATCATAATGTGTCGTCGTCGATGATTTATGTTTATGCTCGCACAGGTAATGTTGATATGGCTTTGAAATTGTATGATGATGCGAAAAATGAGAAGTGGCCTGTTAGGGCAGTTGCATTCTCTGCTTTGATTAAGATGTATGGTGTGTTGGGAAACTATGATGGGTGTTTGAGTGTTTATAATGATATGAAGGCTCTTGGTGTTAGGCCGAACGTGACATTGTATAATGCTTTGTTGTATGCAATGGGGAGAGCTAAGAGGGCAATGGATGCGAAGAGTGTATACCAAGAGTTGTAATATATGGATTTATGTAATAGAGATTGAATTGGATGAAGATTCTGTATTATTTCCTGAGTTTGGATTTAATATTATATGATTTGGTTCTGTTAATTATATTTCTGGGCTGGATTGTAAAAAGAAAGATTTGATTTAGTTTTCTGTATAATTTTGGATTTTGTTTGTAATTGATTTGTAATATTGTTGTAGAAAAAGAGTTGGTTTTGGTTATAATCCTTTCATTTTTATGCTCTTTAGAAGTGAGTGGAAGGGAAAACTATAGCAAAAGTTGTGCTGAAGGATGCTGAGGGAATTTCAGATGCTGGAGTTGTTCTCATGTCAGAAGAAGTTGTTTCTCATGCCCTTGAAACCATTATTGAAGAAGAACATGTTGCACCAAAAGTTGAAAAAGTTAATGACACAGGTATACCTCTGAACCTTGTCTCTAATAATGTCTTAGATTCTTCCAACTCATGTATGATGAGAATGTCTATAAAACTCACCCCACCTCAATCTGTAAATTCACCAGAATAGACACCCTCACTCAAACATGATAAGAACCTACATACATATTTTGTCATGCTCTCTCCTAAACCAACCTCAAGATCAAAATACCTTGCTTCAGATTCTCATAATTATCCCAAAGAATATAAGGAACTATCAAGTCACCTAGTTTATGAGTTACCTAATGAGAAGAACCAGTTGGCATGTATTTCTGATTATGAATGCCAAAATCCCATGAACATTGTGGTTGAATGGGCTTAGAGTTTAACCATATCTGCGTTTTGTAGGCTCTGTTGCGGTGCTACTTTTATGTTTGCTGTCTGTAAGGTAAAATCACTTTTGCTATGCTTGTTTTGCTTGGAATTTGTTGTTTTTCTATTCCCTTCACTCTCTTTCAATATTCAAAGATACCCTAATGGATTTTACTATATAATTTGTATTTTTCTAAATTATGCACTGTTATTAATCACCTACTGCACGATCATTGTTTTATTTCTAGTCTTTGTTCTTCAATGATTGGACAAGTAAATTTTAACGAATGTTGTCAAATCGCGGCCTCCATTGTTTTGAGATACGGTATTTAGTACAAAATGTTGTCATGTGGCGGTTATAGTAGTGCTATAGCACTATTGCAAAGAGGAATTTTAACAATCTGCAATTGACAAGGAACGGAATTGGGTATTAATTTGTTGAGTTTGACTAGAAAATATGTGTTAACAGGTTTTGCTCAAATGGTTTGTGGTTCTTGTAGACGTCTGCTTTCGTATCCATCAGGTGCCAAACATGTCAAATGTTCATGCTGTCAAACGGTCAACATTGTGTTTGAAGGCAAGTTTACTTTCTCTTTGCTTCTTTTTATCTTGAACGTGCATACATAACTGTGAATAATGGGAGAGAGTGAAACAACAATGAAAAAAATTGAGAAAGAAAGCTTTGAGATGAGTGAAAAACATGAAATTGATGATGATTCTAAGCTCATCTACAGAGGTTGGAAGGTCATGCCTTACATTATAGGTAACTAAACTAAGAAGTAGAAAAACATGTACTCTCTTACAAACAGTGTTTTTTAGTCTAATTATGGTTGAAAATTTTGATGTACAGGAAATGAAACATGTGAGAAATTGGGAGCCATTGGAACATTACTGAACCTGTTGGTGTATCTTACAACTGTATTCAACCTAAATAACGTCACAGCTACAAACATCATCAACATCTTCAATGGCAGTACCAACGTTGCTACCTTGCTTGGTGCTTTCGTCTCTGACACATATTTCGGCCGTTACAACACATTAGGATTCTGCATCATCACTTCCTTTCTGGTATTTATTCTTACAGTTAGCTTGATAAAAAAATATAATATTATTAATTTAATATACATCTGGAGACAAGTTTTTTAGATGCACTGACACCCTGCATGTCTGTACTGTCACTGAGAATTTAAGAAAATTTATGCAGCAAGTGACTTGCTGTTACGATTTACTGACATTCAGTTTTTGTCGTTTTGATTTTCATAAAAGTTAAAAAAAAAATATATTAATGGTTTTCTTTCATTGAAACAGGGATTACTTGCAATACAACTTACAGCTGTATTCAAGAATCTGCATCCACCATCCTGTGCAAAGGAAAGTAGCACATGCATTGGACCAACAGTGGGACAAATGACGTTTCTATTTTCTGGGTTTTGCTTACTCTTGATAGGTGCTGCAGGGATTCGACCGTGTAATTTAGCATTCGGTGTTGATCAATTCAATCCAAAAACAGAATCAGGAAAGAAAGGAATCAACAGTTTCTTCAATTGGTATTATTTCACCTTCACTTTTGCTCAGATGATTTCTTTGTCATTGATTGTGTATGTACAATCAAGTGTGAGCTGGGCAATTGGTCTTGGAATTCCTGCTGCATTGATGTTGTTAGCTTGTGTGTTATTTTTCATGGGTGATAAATTGTATGTTAAAGTAAAACCAAGTGGCAGTCCCATCAAAAGTATTGTACAAGTTTTAGTGGTTGCAGTCAAGAAAAGGAGAGTTAAACTACCTGCTCAGCATCCAATGCTTTCCCTCTTTGATTATGTGCCATCCAAGTGCGATTATCCAAAGCTTCCTCACACATATCAATTCAGGTAAATGCATCAATCTAATTTAAATTTATTTCCTAACATTGAAATTCAACATGATGATGGCTCTTAATCCTGCTGGTTGATTATCACGGTAATCATCTTTTCCTCACTTTTCAAATTTTTATTTATTTATTTATTGAGTTTGGTTTATTGGCTAAAGTAAGGCTAGAAGATGGTTTATTTCTGTCAAATACTTCAATAGTCAGTTAGTTTTCCTGGATGGAAATTTCTATCTTACCTGCATGGTTAATGTTCCTGGATTATTATCCTCTTCCCCATGGATAAGCAAGATAGGCTTCTTAATTTTATTAGCGGACATGAAGGGACTCATCTCGACATAGGTATTAGTGGCCTCCCAAAGAGTTCTATCTTCATTCTACAGAAGAAAGTATTGTATAAGATGTAAGATATTCATTTCTAAAGACAACTCATGGAAAATACTATGCAATTGGAATAATAAAAATCGAGGCATTATATAGGTAGTACCTGAAAACCAAAAGGTGTAAGCGTTCTATTGTAAGCACCAAAACGAGCAATTCCACAACAAAAGAGATGAGGGGCGTGTGCTAGGAGGTTGGCAGTCATGAATGCACCATAGGAATGTCCACCAACAACTATTTTCTTTGGATGAGCTACCTAGAGGGGATAACCGAAAAATGCTTGATTCAAACGATATTTATATTGGATTGATAACTTAATCTACTACACAAGTAAAAACAAAAGCTTACCCCACGCCGGATAACTTCTTCCACAGCAGCCTCTGCACTTGCAACTAATTGCCCTACATAGCAGTAAGCTGAACCCCATCTTTTCTTTGATACCTGATCATCTCTTTCTGCAATGATGCAAGCTGAGGGAAATTTGTAACCTTAACTCTTTTTGCATTTGGCCAGCTAACAAAGTAATACTGGGTGTTCTCTGTTTTTGACTCTTTTGAAATCAGTATTTTCAGCTTATCTAACTGTAAATCCCCTTCTCCTTGATCCGACATTAGAAAAGTATCTAATTGTGCCCAAATATGTTGTTGGCTAAATGTGAATCAATAATTTGTATTCATACCCATAGCGGAGATCAAGCTTGTGTAATATCGAGATTGAAGGTAAAATTTTCATTCAACCTCTTCTTTTTCTTCCCTTTGCTTATCTACACAATGTCTGCATAAAAACAAACTGATTTCTAGTGAATCAACAACTAATGCTGTTTTAACAACTGAATCCATCAGCACTTATTGGTTTCTTGGTTCTTTAATACTAATCTAGCTCTAATTGCTTCTTCAACATTTAACCACAGGAACAAGTTGCTTATAATCACTACCATAATTCTAGGTAATTATTCATTCTCCTTACTTTTAAAATTTCTATTTCTAGCTTCAAATTATTTATGTTCAAAGATGTACTATATTGAGAGTTGATTGGTTCTTAGATGAAAATTACTTTTTTGTTTTATTTTACTATCTAGAATATTCCAAAATAACCTTGTCTTTCTCTAGTAGACTTTTCTCTTTCATTATACTCAGAGATTCACAAATCTGTTATGTAGTTGTAGGATACTACTCCTTTTAATGAGAACTACTAGTGGTGAAATAGTGGAGACTCTACCAAGATCCTTTCAGGTATATACATATAAATGAATAGCATTTGATTTCACTATTATGTTTATCAAAGGTGTTAGAACTTAGAACTAAGGATTCTATTAACAGGTACATAGTAAAATATGCATGGAATTGATGAGAATATTGGATGATATCATGAGGATATTTCCAGATATAGAGGATGCAAGACCAAAATGTTCATCAGGAATAGAATCTCTGGTTTATCTGAACAACTCAATTCAGAAAGCTAAACTACTTCTACAACATTGCTCTGAATGTAGCAAACTCTACCTGGTGTGTTTTCTTCTTCTCTAAAGCATATCTCAATAATAATTTTGTATAACTTTCTTAACAAGTAAGCTAAATATGACCACTACTTTCAGGCAGTGACAGGAGATACAGTACTTTTAAGATGCCAAAAAGCAAAAAAGTCATTAGAACAAAGCTTAATTCCCATTCAGAGTATGGTTCCAGTTGTGTTGGCTGTTGAGGTTAGTCAATTTTTTCTTCAAACGTTGTCTAATCTGACTTTTTATAAGTCAGTGATTATTCATAAAAACTAATGACTTATTGTAGTGGAAAAAATTCTATAAACAAGTTAATCCAAACTGAGTTTTATCTTTCCTGAAATGTGACTTGCAGGTTTCTAGAATAGTTGATGATCTTGAGCGTGCTACATTTGTTCTGGACTCTGCTGAAGAAGAGGCTGGGAAAGTTTTAACAGAATTGCTTCAGCAAGGTACTTCGAACTTGGTTTCAGCGGAAGATTTTGAACTTAAAGCTCTTGAGTTTGCAGCACCGAGGCTGAATATAACATCACAAAAGGCCTTATTAATCGAGGGACGGTCTATTAAAAAGTTGCTAGATAAAATTGGACCAAATGACCAGAAAAAGAAATCGGTAGTTAATCGACCTGGTTTTCTTTGTAGACTTATAGTGTAAAGTTATTGATTCTTTCTTGTCACTAATTTATAATTTTATGTTGATGTTTGCAGTTGGTATCTTTGGATCTTTGTGGTCATATTTTTGTTGCTTAATATCCATGGTACGCTACAAGACTTGGCACTTTTGTTCTGTTTCTCAGTAGTTCTGCTGCATGCTAACCATATTTTCTACCTTAAGTATAATGGTTATTATTACCTGTAACAATGCTTTAAAAACTGCATTGAAACCCGTTCAGTTCAACCAGTTGAATCAAGAACTACCAGTTTGATGTGTAGTTTAATCTTGGTTATACCACAGTCTCGTTGAATTAACAATTATGTCATTGTCCAATCGAAACTAAGATTTATTTTTATTGTTTCAGGTTGGCATGCATATTTCTGGATTGCATTCATTCCTATTATTGTAAGTATCTTTATAATTTTTATTTTCTTTTGGCTCTTTTCTCCATTCAAGTAAAGTTGATATATTTATTTTCCAATTTTTGTAGGACCATGATCCTTCCTAGAAGTTAGAAGTTTGTTTAAACTTGCCCTAAGATATTGCTTATGTTTTGTGTGAATCTTGCAGGCTGCTAGGTATGCGTAGCTTGGACCAAATGGTAGTCAAGGAAGGATCATGGTCCTAGCATGGAAGTTTAACACAAAATCACTTAACACTAAGGACTTTCATGAATTTTGTAGAATATTGTAACATTTTTTGTAATTCTCTCAAGTTGTAGCAAACCAATGTAAATATTAAAATGAAATTTGGCCTTTGATGATATTTGAATTTTTCTTGTTTATTGGTAAAATTTGCACTTCTTTTTACCTTTGATCACATTTTTTTTGATATTATTGATGATTATTTGATATTAAATGTTTTTATTGTAATTAACTTTATTATGTTGAAAAGTGATAGAAAATAAAATAAAAATACTATAAATAAAAAAATATTAAAGTAAATAATAATTTAAATATAATAGTAAAATATTATAGTAAAATAATATTATATTTAAAATTATTTTACTAAATAATAATTTAAATAAAAATATTATTTGAAATTTATAAATCAGATTACGACGGTTAAAACCGCCGCAATTTCTAACCTACGGCGGTAGAGTAACCGTCGCAAACAACAACAAAAACAAAAAATAAAGTCAAATTCACGACGGTATATAACCGTCGCTATCTGTTGTGCGTGACAGTTTTGCAACCGTCGCGAAATAGGCTGGGG